TTTTTTTTTTTTTTTTTTTGTTCACATTTTTTACGAGCTCATGCCCACGAGCCGTTCGTAAAAGTCAAAAATGTCGTTCAACACAGTCGAAAATCAAAAAGATCAAACTGATACTAAAGAAATTAGGCCCTCTTTGGTGCACATTTTAAGTCTAAGAATGCATTTTTTTGTTTGATGTGATAGGGAATATGTGGTTGAAAAAGAAGGAAAAGTTAGCGATGCAATGAAAAATATTATTTTATTAAAGAATGTATGATTGAAAATGAGTATAAGAATATGAATGAAAAAAATAATGTGACTCAAACAGAGATAAATAAACTTAAATAACAATAATGTTGGGAATGAACCGGTCTTTAAAGTGGGTTTTTTTTAATTAATATAGTCTAATTGTGGCATCGCTTTGAATTAATTTGAGAGGCCTATAGCTGTTTATCGAAAGTACATAATTAGTTGCATTGAATGATAAATTAATGTATGTTAATATAATTACTAGTTTACAATATCCTTTCTCTACATCAATTTGGACATCGTTTTCAAGTCACCATCCTAAATCTTTCTATGGATATCTCAACTTAAGATCATTAATTTGCATAGATTTTTAGTTAGTTAATTTACCAAATTCGACTTCAGCTCGGCTCAATGGGTTTAGATATAATAAAGAAATATATTATTATTTTTTTCTAAAATAATCGAACTCGACTCAACTTGACTCGACTCGAAAACAACCAATTTTATTGATTTGAGGCTAAGAAGACAGTTACTAAAGAAAATTTAGATCAAGATAAATAAAACAGAATGTGTCATTCACATTTGCCTTTTCGTGTGATGAAGCTGCTTTATCTTTTGAGTAAGGACACCAAAACATTGCTTTAATGAATAAAGAGACACATAATATCCATCATGGGACCTATTTCAAGAAATGGTGTCATTCTTATAGGAGTTAGCAAATAGGGCAATAATAATTTTATAGAAGAATATAGGAGTAAAAATGTAAACTGAATATTTTTACACCAACAAATGCACAAAAGATTGAAAAGTATTATCAAGTATTACGTACTAAACATACTACTGTTGGTTAGAAGCTGAATCATTACATCGTTTTAGTTGATTAAAAGTTCAGGCAAAAGTCACTAAAGAAATAGCACTTTTACACCATCTCTCTCCTTTCTAAAACGGTCTTTGTTTTTTTAATTATTAAGACAAAATAGAACCCAATAATATCGAAAGGGAAAACACGATCACCACTACTAAAAGGCCTAGTTTTTGCAAGAGTTTTTAATACGATCACCTTCTAGTTTATAACACTTAAAAGTTAAAAGATGTTGGGAAATTGAGTAAAAATCGAAATATGTTTCTTCGTTTCAGCAGTAATGATTCAACAATGTATCAAAGCATACAAATATTTTAGGCAATCGAATAATTTTTCCCTCTTAACAAAATGAACCAACCAACTACAGTTGTTTCTCATACCCACATTGTAAAAAGTTTAGTATTGCTTAAATACAAAGTTACGAGTAGGTAGAAGGATTGCCTATCAAGAATTGTTATAACTTGCTTTTAACATTGGATGTTAGATGGAAGAGTTGGCTAGATGTGAAGTGTCAGCATCGTTTCACTTGCTTCAATATAGGTGGGGGATTGACAAGGTTGGATTGAGACTGAACACCTGACCTAACATTAGCAATATTCTACCGATGGAGTATTCAAGATTTGAGTGGAAAAACTGGCCCAAGAGTTAATGTCATTTAAAATCAAGCACCAACCAATTCTCTACATCCACTACACAGTATAGTGGTACCACTAGATTTTTTCCCAACCCCACAAAGAAAATGTAGAGATTTTTCATTTTTCTACTGAGCCTTTCATAAAAGAAATACAAACAGACAATGGTTTGTACAATGTTGGCTAGTACGAGATAAAACAACATAAAATGCTAAACATAGGCTAAGAGCTGCAGTGCTTCACACAATATCGGACATGTCATTCATTGTGAAAATAGCCAAGCAGAAAAATAAAAATATTTCTTTTCTCATCTCATTTTTGTATACATGGTATTTCTCAGTTTCAGGTTCTGTTCTACAATTCCCAAGTGCCAACTGTACATGAGCCGAGAAATTACACAGTCCATCTATCTCAACACTTAAGGAGCTGATTTTAGAATACCAGCAAATTCGAAAAATAAAATACAAATTTCACCAAATTTCAGGGAGAGAAAAATCAAACAAATGACGGACTACTAAATTGACAGAATATACGAAGCCAAATCAACGTCAGGCTGGTACGCAGAAAGATGAGCTGAGGGCCGGAGGCAATACACATATCAAATGAGGCCCCGGTGGATTGCAACTTATATTTGCCTCATCAACCTCCGGCAATCCCAGTTGCGGAGGGCGAACATATCCAGCAACCAGTGGCAAGCATAAAATAGTTATCTCTATCCTGGAACCTATTAGAAACATCGTGGTATTTTAGCCATGCTACAGAAACAACAAATCAAACCAATAACTAGCCATTGAAAACTAGATGCTTGCAGCAGATAGGAATGGAGTTGAGAACGATAAATTTGTCAAGTAAAAAAAAATTTGCTAGGAATGCAAATTTAATAGGCCAGTTTAATTAACCCCAAAAATTGGTTCAACAGACATTTAAAAATGGTTACCTATTCAGTATTTTTAAATCCAACGTGCTAAATATATAGAAAGGTAAGTCCAACTTTTTATAGAACTTGTCTAATTTCATAAATTTAACTAGTGATGACTCAAACACAATTTCTAATTCAACAATATCACAACCTATTTCTTAACCCCTAGCATTTTTACTTCATTAAATAAATCCAAATATCATCTGTACTGAAATACATTATTTAAACAAGAAAGCTCAATTATATTTTTAGATAAAATTTTGCTTACAAAAGTATTTCACAATGTTCTGAAAATCGGAGAAGACCGGTAGGTCCGACCAGAAAACTGGGAACGAGGCCGAAATCCAGTCCGGTCATAGGATAAAAACTGAATGAAAAGAAATCGGTGCAAAATCCAGTAAACTGTCTGGTTCACACAAATTCGCGGGTTTAATGGTTGATTTTGTCCCAATAAAAAATAAATAAATAGAGTGGATGAAACACAGAACTAAGCTTTGCTGCCATTTCTCCGGTCGCCCAATAATCACCTGAGCCCCACAGTCTCTATGGCAAAGCCTCTGTGCTCCATTTCAGTCAAAATATCCAAAATCCATACTAATCTTACAAAGAAATGAAAACAAATAGATACAAATTTATAAACATATACAAGTATTTGTATGCATGAGAGAGAAAACAAGCCGTTGTCGAGAACTCGAAGGAAACGACGCATTTGGATCTGAAACTAAGGCAGCCACAAGTTAACAAAGAGAATGGTACGGATTGGACTTTGGATGTATGGTTGTCTATGTATTGTGGAAGTAATTTTTGGGCCATTTAGTTCACTTAGTGCTTGCTTGTATGATAAAAATTTGCTAAAATGTTATCAACTTTTGAACTGGTCAAACTGTAATTTTAACCATACATTTCATGAGACCCATAACTTTTATCAACTTTTCATCCACACATTTCATCATTTTTTATCAAAATCTGCTAAAACTTTCATAAAAAAAATTCGTCAAACAACCCCTTAATGTTAAATGGCTCCATAAATAGTATGGGTTAACTAATGGAAATTTTTAATTATACTTATACATCTATATAGAATAATTAGTTAATTATTTTAATTACTGGGTCGACCGGTTCAATCTCGATTTAGCCATTTGACCTTGACCCTTTAACTTTACCGAGTCGATGGGTTGGCCTTTATCGGGTCGATGGGTGGGCTAGCTTTCAAACACTCCAAGTGAATTTCTTTGCTCAATCTCTATTTCATTAAAGTTAATCTTTTCTATCAATGAGTCAAAAACACTAAAATTATCCAATAATAAAATTTTAAATAAATAAATTGTAGAATTATATAAAACATAGAATGCAAAATTTAATTATGCTTTAATTAATTTAAATATAAGTTTCAATAATACTTGGATTGGAAATAGTATTTGATTGGCTCATTAAATGTTTGAAATAATATTGTTTAAATAATAACATTTAAAAAATAATAATTGTTGCATTAATTTTAAATATTCAACGTGAAATTTAATAACATTCCAATTTAAAAATACAAGTTCAATAATATTTTATTGAGAATTGATTACTTTGTTACAAAAAAATTAAAAATTTCTTTTCAATCATTTGCCATTCTAACTCTACTTAAAAAGAATTATTTTACCAAACATAAAACTACTCAAGTATAGTCGTACGAGTTTAAGAAAGTACTACTAAGTGATTTAAGTTATTTATAAATGACACTTCTAAACTACACATAAAAGGAAAGTATAAGGAGAGTGAGGTACCTTGTTTTGTGGAGAGTGATATATGTCCTCTTTTCCTCCCAGCAATCATCCAGTTTTCGGAATTTGCAATGACTTCATAAAGTAAATTGTCCTGTCACACGAGAAAAGAAAATAATAAACTAATGGTAAGTATGTTTTTAAGAAGATGCACTTCGACCAATTTTATTATTATGGGGGTGTTTGTTTTTGATTTGAGAACTCAAATCAATTCTCATTTTCAACCACACATTTTTCAATAAAATAATATTTTCCATCACATCAATAATTTTTTCTTTTTTTTCAACCACAAATTTCCCATATCACTATTTAAAATCAATTCTTTCCCCAAAAATCCCTACTAAACAAGCTCTATTATTATTATTAGCAACAAGGTATCTGGCCAGATTGTCAGTGGAAGAAGACAAGGAAATGATTAGAATGCCAAAAGCGGTTAACATATGGCAATGGAAGAAAACAGGTTAGCCATTACATGGTCGCGGAGGATTATTTATTACAAATGAAAAACTCCTCCACATTGTGTAGAAGCGATGCAGCTTGGGAAGAACGACTCAATTATATAAATCCTCACATTACACTTGAGGAACTTACATCTCACAAATTGCCAAGAATAAAGAAGATTTAGCTGAAATATTTTAAAAGGAAACAGCATCTTTGGTGGCTTACATGGTTTTGAGAAGCCATATTCTCCTCCAAGTCTTTTAACCTTTCGACCCTCCATTTCATGGTCATAAGCTGCCCAACTTGGAGACCACTCGAAGGGAGAGGCAGACAACCAACTGCAAGGCAAGGGTTGAGCACAGGTCGCTGTAAAACAAGAGCACTCCTGAAGGTCAAATGCTGTGAATCATCATCAGCCGCAATGGTTTCCTCAGCTACAGGGGTATGAGCTCCAAGAGTTCTAAAGCCAGAAATCCCATATCTAATATTTAATATACTATCTGGATGCAACTCCGTCGTTTCATCTGTAGAAATAAGATATCAAGACTCCGTGTAACAAAAAGACCAATCACACGGGTTCTCCATAAGATGAAGTGGAGACCTAGCACCGAAACCAAACTTTTCCTTGTAAAAAAAGATGATTAAAATGATACAGGGGACATTTCAAGTGTAAATAAGACAAATATATGTGTCAAAATTCTGTTATTAAGCAAGTGTATTAACTAATGTCACCATAGGATACAGCAAAAGCAATAAGAATTTATTTAGCCCATGCTTGACAACCATTATTTTTAAACTCTTCTTCTAGATGCTCATTTTCAACAATACATTCACACAATAAAATATACTACAATTTCATACATTTTACCCACGCATTCTCTTAAAAATTGCTATTCAAACTTCTATTTTCCCCAAATAATAGTCGTCAAACAGGGGCTTACATTATTTCTCTGAACCTTAGCAACCTGCTATAACGGAAATGGAGTATTTTATTATTTGATTAGCTTTCCACCAGTGTTCTATAGAAGGTACTCTAGCATAACATGTACAGTTACCATTCACATAGGAGCACATTTCCTGCTCCGTGCTTCAAATTAACATCTATAAGGAAATTTTCAGCTATGTATATGCCTCATAATTCTCCTGGATGACCTCTTAGTTCACATGGAATTTAGAGTGTGGCACAATAAGTAGGCTTGAGACAGATCTCTTCATTATTGGGATATTACATGTCAATACCACAATTTATATTCAGCTACTCGGGTCTACTTAGAGGAAGATCCAAATGAGGTATTATAAAAAGAAGTCAGAGAGAGAGAGAGAGAGCACAAAATGGGGCATACTTTTGACTAATGTGTCCCCAAGGCATATACTAAAAAGAATCCCAGCTTTGGATTTTGGGGAAACAATGAGCGGAAAGAAGTTAGAGGTTGGTCTTCCATCACGATTTCCAGCATGCACAAAGCCATCTTGAAGATCCAGCCAAGCATCATAGATGGTTAATGAAGCTTTCACCTGTGACTGCAGTATGGCCTAAACAGAAATATGGAGCAATTTGAGATAAGATACATACATATTAAGTAATTCATTAAAATTTCTCAATTAGACGTACAAAATCCACAATGCCACCAATTTTGTGCATTCGTCTCATCTAGTGCATGATTGGCAAAGCTCATAATTGCTTACAAGCACATCAAACACTATTTTATCCACACTCCATAGGACCCACAATTTTTACCTATACCCACTAAATATCAACACATTTTATAGGACCCACAGCTTGTAATCTAATAATTTTTTTGCCAAACATGCTCCTAATTACCTCCTAGTCTCACATAAATTCTAACATCAAAGAAGAAAGAGCATGAGTTAACTGCAGGCGGTCTGCAGTAAGTACAAGGTTATTAACCAACTCATAGTCATTACATTTTACTACGATAGCCTTAAAACTAAGCAGCAAAACAACATGCAGAAAATTTCAAATTAGCTATGCAGCATTTGAGCTTCCACGTGTAGCACTTACACGATCGTTAATAAAATGCATGATAACAGAAAGCCAGGAATGACTTCACAAGAGCATCATACCAATGAAAAATGATCCTCAAATAAGCTGGATAGTAAATACCTGCAAAAGCATAGTACCATCATTGCATTTGTCAGCAACACGTGTGCTCACATGGAAAGGATCGGTAAAATGCACGGCTATTGTCCTGTGATATTGCCTCAATTGCTTCAGGCTTGGTTCAACAAAGAAATAACAGATAATGAAGGGAAATAAAATCTAAGAAAAAGGAAACCTAGTACTTTTCAAATATCTGGTTATGAGCAACTCCAAACTCAAGTTTCAGAGCTATTGTCCTCAAGCCATCCACAACACTCTGTCTCTGGGAAACAATTGCCCCTGCAAATATGTAATAGCCATTATGGTTAAACATTCAAATGATAAGAGGATGCCCTGTTATGCATGCACAAGCCAGTTCGAATTGAAATTGCCAAAACTTTGTCCAATATTGACCTGCAGGTGTTCCTTTAGGTAGCTCATCACTAATAGCTCGCACTGGAATCCATAAAACTGAAGTTATATTGCTTGCCCAGTCGACCAACTCAACCCTACCATCAATAAGAGTCAATTGCTTGACTTCATCTGCGACGGGAGAACCATCGCTCTCCAAAATCTGTGGATTATCTAAGTTGGCTGCATTAGGCTGCTCAGTTGCAAGCTTCTCAATTTCAATTCCATGTTTCTCAATCCTCAAACCAGGACCTGTATCTATGTGCAGCACAGCACCCCTAAGGGAGTAGTTAATAGGTCTAACAATTATTCCAACCCACTGAGGTTCATTAATCAGCAAAGCAGATGAAACAGCAGCAGCAAGATCAACCAGAGATCTAGGTTTTGACACCTAGATAACAATATGATATAAAAAAATAAATTAAAAAAAGAACTCAGCTAAAATTCTCTGTAAATGCAAGAGAAAACTGAATGTATAGCCAATATAGGATAATTCCACCTCTCAATCAATGACTAGACATTACCAATTCAGTAAAAGAGGCTGCTTAAATTTTCTGCTAAATCACATGCACAGTACCTTTAAGATAGGCCTTGTTGGTTTCTCGTAACTCATAAAATCATCAGTGTCTGCAGGTCCACCCTTTGAAAAACTATGAGATCTAAATCTTAATTGACCAATCTGTCCAGTGAGAACCCCCAACACGTACAAACCAGGTTTTTGTGGAGGTAAGGGAAGGGTTATTGTATTCCTGCCAGGCTTTAGTATGGTAGCGTCCAAGCTCTTTATTTGCTGAATAAATTTGAGAATGAGTTATCAAGGAAATGATGGACTCCAATAAATACAGCACTAAACAAATTTGATGTCACGTGGACAAAGTACCTTAGAACCTTCATCAGTATTATTAGTGGCTGTCAGAGTAAGGCTAAGTGACTCAAGAGTTATATCGTCGGGAAATCCACTCCACACAGTAACAGACAGGGAGCCAGGATCCCCATCACAGAGCTCCAGTGGATGCCCTTGATTTCCTGAAAATGTAATTAAGCAAGATACATCTAAGGGCACAGGACGCTCCATTTCACTGTGCGCAAGATGGATAACTTCAGACTGAAATGCCTGCCGTTCCTTGGTCAAGAACAATCCTTTATCTAGCGAGAGCAATTTCACACAAGAAGATAGGTAGCCAGCTTGATCTTTCAGTATCTTTTGACACTGTGCTAAATTCGGAAGGACTTCAGCCAGTAAGTTCTCCCATCCTTCACCCGCATAAAGAGCACAAACCTTCTCATACAATTTTGCAGCAAGATCATAATTTTCGTGCTTAAGGTAGACAGCTGCAATTTCACCATCAAGGACAACTCCATGTCTCTTCCACCAAGAACGGTGATAATTATTTGCAGCACCTTTTGACAGATCTAAATATTTTTGCTGGCACATAGACAAATGCAAATCATGTGAAAAGTGAGAATGAAAAAGATGAAACATGATTCAAGAAGTGAACACAGAAAGGTCATGACTGTATAGGAAATTTATAAATGTTTTGGTAGGGGGGGAATGAGTTTTAACAACAGTCAGAACAGACTGCATGTTAACATATTATCACAGCTATTTTTCAACCAGCTCTTATTTTTGACCTAGAACATCTGCTGCATAATTGCAGCAATATATTAAAATCTCTAAGTCAATATGAACAATTACATGTAATATAAGCACCACATGCTAAATGTAATGCATGTACTTCAGCAGAAATAGTCTTTAAGCTAAATACCTCAAATTCTTCCACAGAAGATAATGATTTCCACAGGTTGACATCAGAAATTGTATTCCGTAAAGCATGCTCAGAAACAACATAAATCTCTGCAAGTCTCATAGGCCGATCAATTGAGCCGTCAAAATTTCCCGGTGAAGAGTACGTTCGAGACATGGACATAGCATTTCCTTTAGGCACTGGAGACATTTGCACTGAGCTGTCAATGAATCACAATTATATAAGACCTCAAATTCTCAACAATCCAAAAACGATAAACAAAGAATCTAGTTCAGAAAATAGAAAGAACAAAGAAAAGGAGAGACGTGTTCACTTTACCAACATACCCACCCAGTGGCACAAGTTAACAATTCTGGACCCCCAAGATAAGGGCAGTACAAAAATATGCACAATGACCTTTGGCTTTTACTAAAGTTGCAACTTACCTCCTAATGTGAAATATCAAAACAAATTTTGGTCCAATTTGGAAGTTATTTTTGCTAAAAGCAACTCCTCAACTATCTTTTTTTTTTTTTTGAAGTAAAACTTGGATAAGATATTCTTTTACAAAAAAAAAATGATTTTAAAAATATATGTGAATAAAGTCTTAATTTCGCAAATCCCTATAAACTTAATTTCTCAATCCCTCTAAACCACAAAACCAAAAACAAAATAAAACTGGGAGTGTTCTTTGCCAACTCTGCCACCACTAGGGAAAGATTGCAATTAAGTCAAAAACAAAGGAACAATGATGAGTCAAATAGATGTTTTAAATATGGTTAAGCTTTCCCTTTTTCTCTCCCAACCACATAAATAAATAAGGGAATTGAGCAAAACCAGATATTGATACACTTGATTCAGTCCTTAAATTTATTACCCATCAATAGCATTCGGACGACTATCAAACAACTCAAACATATTTCCAGCTGATAGAGTAGCCCTCCGACGATTTGCCTCGCGCAACAGTACCGATGGTTCAAGAGGTAATGGCTTCCTCTGAATACCAAAGTGTTTAGGCCGTGGAGATTCTTGGAAAATCATCTGTGCACACAAAGTGGATAGTGCCGTAAATTCAGGAGCGGAGAACAATGCTAACTGAAAGTAACAAAACTTTTAGCATAAATGACTATTCACTTGTAACTCGTCTTAAAAACTTTAAAGCCATACCTGTTATATGATTCAATTTGCGAATGCTGGAGGTGTTCACATTAATTGCAATCAAAATACAATATAGCATACAGGGAAAAGGTTTGTTGTGGCCAAATTCTATGCATGTGCTCAGAATAGTTTGAATTTCCAAAATAGAACACATTTATGCTCCATTTATTTGAATACAAAAACATTTTACATGAAATATTTATCATATTTAAACCCCTGTTTGTCAACAACATAAAAACATGTATCCATTGATCGAGTGAATGCAAATGTATGCAGAATACCTTATTACATTCAAATATCCATGCATATTAAGTTTTTGCGTATACAAATAGAACAGACAAAGTGCATAGGCCAATGTGCATAGCTGCCGCAAAAGAGTGTTGATCATATTTTGGTTTGCATAACAAAATGCATAAACAGTCATTGTCAGACACATTAATTGCAAATGTTTATTGAGAAAAATTTATGCCAAGTAAATTTTTTCATTATTATCTACAGAGACCGTCCCAATTCCCAACTAAATAAAGACAAATGCAGAAAGCATTTCCATAACAAAGACAACACTCACAATAGGCAGGATTGATTGGAAGGCTGCGTGAAGTCTAAATAATAGTGGGATCCAGTGTCCTAAAAGATGATAAATGTACGCAGCAGCAGCATAATCTACAGCAACATAACTATAGAAGATAACTAAAGTAAAAATGACAACGATTTTCAAATAACGAATCTAATATTATTTCTTCGAACATGTTTCAATACTTTGTACCAAATAGTTGTTTGTTAATTTTTTTCGAGTAAACAGGATTCGCCACTCCAGTTTCTACACTTCCATGTATGGGAACTCACCTTTTCTTTTGCAAGAACTTCAGCAGAAGCATCTTCTGGAAGTGAAGGCCAAACAGCTGGCTTTGGCCACGGTAGCATGCTGAGTGAGGCACTGCCCAGAAGATTTAAGATTTGCATAAGTTTAGAAAATTTAGAAAAATTAGTGCGATGTGAAAGGTTTGTTTGGCTGTTCCAAAACCACTAATTTTATCAATTGACAGAAACAAAATACTTCAAATTACTATCTGGTTCAAAAATATAAAATAATTATAATAGTGGCAGCAGTATCAGTAGCAGTAGCACTAGTGGTAGACATCCAGATATTTTTTGGGACGGATAGGTTAGCTAAATAGACTAGATTGGGGTAAAATTTGGCAAATACCTGTTGACAGGACTTCTCTCTATGCTTGAACCATAGCCAATTAAATATGCTAGTCGCAGGAACTGCCAAAGCCATGAGATTGGTCAATAAAATTGCAAAGTAGAACTTAATCATTTTATAATGAAATGATATGAATAATAGCCCCTCATGAATAATCTCATTGTTACACTAGTAATGGATATTTTCACATATAAGGGCTAAGTTACTCAGTGCAGTAAAGATGCTGCATTAAATATCAAGTTTGCTAAACTCACTTAAACATGGAAAAGATTACCTTAGTCCTGCATAAAGTAAACAGTTCCCCTTGAACACGGTAAAATTCCTTCTCCATGTCAGGTGCTGCTAATCCATCTTTATAACAGGAAGCAGTTGCATCGATTAAAGCCAAGCAAGCAGTTATGACCCAGACTTCACGCAGAGAGAATGGTAACGTGCTCTGGTAAACCCCAGAATAGATATTCAGAAGGAAGTTTCCATTCTTTGAATTGACAACAGTAAAAATACAGGACAATGCTGATCAAAACTGAATATCATCTACCTCATGCATGGCCAATGCTCTAGAAAAGCTAATTATAAAAGAATAGCCCCTTCCTGCAACCTCAAATGGACGACTCAGCTTAAAGAGTAGCTGTGAATTTGTAAGGTGATGAAAGAACAATATTAGAACAGAAGTTTACGAAATAAAATCCAGCAAAAAGAGTAGGGTAAAATTCTACATAAATGTAACGAGATACGAATTAAGACAAATCAACCCTAAGCTAATCACCCACACCACAATTATTTATATAGTCATTATCATCTAAGTAGATATTGAACAAAACTGGTAAGTAGAGTAAAAAAAACATTTCATATGATACACTGCCAACCTAAGAAAATTACTAAATCTCAGTCATACACACCTTTGCTTGACTGGCAAACAGATACTGCCTGAATTCAAACTCCCTAAATGAATCATCTTGAACAATCTGAGTCAATGATTTCTTCCCTGGATCAAGTAGTGTAGCTTGATCATCTCCCTTTTCCATTCCTCCAAAGTCTCTTAGCCTTCCTGCCATATTAACTACATTGTAGAGAGAAGCAAAGAAAAGTTAGGTTAATGATCCACACAACTCCAAGCTACACGGAATCAAACATCAATAACAGCAAAGATGCAGACAAAGCAGCATTATGTCTTACTTAACTCGAAGCAAAACTTAAAAGCAAGGAAAAATAGATCAAATACAGAGAGGATGTTGGTATTTACGATGGAAATACTTAAAAGAAAAAAATTATAATTCTTAACATGCAGCAAAATAGTAACAAAATTATTATTATTATTATTATTATTATTATTATTATTATTATTTTGAGTCCTGTACTTTTTATATATGCGCATGAATGATATCCATGTATCTTCTGTATCTGTTTTTATAGAAATTTTCCCATATTCTTTCGCAAAATTACTCTGAATTCTAGCTATACATGTTTCGCCATCCTTCACTGCACTATCGACAACAGTTTCTTTTCCCTAAATAAAGTAGAACATTTGCTCGTCCAATTTTCTTGCTGTAACACTAAATGATGCATCATATAGAAGTAGTCAGTGCATAGTCTCCCAGTAAGGAGAGATTTCGCACTTTGAACAATTTATTCAGTCAAAAATTTCACGAAACTTAAGCCCGTTTGAGCAAAATTAAAATTTTCATTCACATTCTTCTACTCATTNACATTAAAAATTTCATTTTCATTCTTCTATTCATTTTCAAGCACACATTCTTCGATAAAATAATATTTTCCATCACATCAATAACTTTTCCTTCTTTTTCAACCACACATTCTCCATCAATCTACTATTTCAAAATGCATTCTTTCAAAATAATGTGGCTCAAACACACCCTAAATCATAGCAGAAGGATGTAGGTTGATAAAATGACTAAGTTCTGAATAAGAGCTCCAGAAAGAATATGTTGGCAACGATGTTGAAGTGTAGAACTAAAAAAAGAAGAAGAGGGAATACCACTTCAGTTTACACTTTAGCACTCCTAAGAAAACAAAAATTTATAGCGTTTTCGCCCTTGTCACACAAACCAACAGTGCCGTCCAAATTTACTAGACCTTCCATTATCTTCTCAACAAAAGTCACATTACATGCATGCCAAGAAAGAGATTGGCCACTAAATCAAAAGAAACAATGCTAAACTAATATAAAATGTGTGGTGTGGGTAACAGTGATGCAAGTCAAATTGAAAGCATCACCTATATCATTATCTATATTGTCACGGTATAAGTAAAAAAGCAAGAAATCAAATGCATTGCATACCAGTTTCTGAATAGCAGAGTTCAAGCTCGTCGTATTCACGTAATGCATCTTCATGCAGATGAGCAATCTCGAACATAAAAGCCAAACTTTCCTGTCAACAGAGGGGAAATACTTATGAGAAGAATTTGTAGAATGAAAATGCCCTTAACAGCAAATTACATGTGATTGTTCTTGATGGCTAGAAAAGAGGACGATAGGAAATAGCATTTTTAACAAACATTTGAAAGAAATAAGACATGCTCAGGAAGTAAGGCTTTATTGCTTAGCCGTCGTGGAATTAAACTGTATTATTTTGATGGGAGTATTGTAGATTATTAGGTTCAAAACTTCCAGCAGCAATTTCAAAACTGTGAAGATGGAAGATTGGTACTAAGTAACATTGACTCCTCCACTCTTCCCTTTACCCTATTTCATCCTAGTGTCCTAGGTGTCAGGGTAGTTTTCCCTCCTCTAATCCTTCTCAACAAAATTTAATCTATTCAAATTAATTTATTTCACATAAAGTAATCCATATTAGATCAAAGCATTTATGATTATCTTTTACATGGAGTCATGGACACTTGTCAAAATCCTTTCAATGTACGATCAGCTTTCTAGTATTACGAGGACAATCAAGAAAATACCTTCAAGATGAAGAAGTTGCAGAAGTTCCAAACTGGCATAAATCGCTGTTCACTGAGCTTGCGAATTTCTTCTTCATAAAACTGAATGCGTCTATCCAGTGTATTTCTGATGCACTCCATAACTTTAGCCTCCAAGTCTTCCCAGAAACTTGAATCAGGCCCGTGCATATCTAGTTTGCAGCACCTAAGTGAAACATTTGTTCAGAGCCTCAAAGAGAATTTCCAGGAGAGATAGATATCCTTGCATCGTATACAGTGAACTCGAAATTTTATGACACGTCCAAATCTTCTACAGTCAGTTAAATCCTTCTCATGACAACTTCATCTAGTGCACGACTTATTACTTATGGCAAATCTTTGACCAAAGTAATAAACAATAAGCTTAAGAGTTGAACACTTGAATCTGATATTGCAAGGCCAGAGCTAAAGGGAGAAACTAGAAGAGGAACTAGAACAGAGCAGGCTACACAATTCCCACGAGGGAATACGGTTACTAAATCCCAAAAACTAACTTAAACATTTTAATAGGCTATTGAACTTCGCATAACTCCAATACTATAAATGGAGAGCATACCTTTCCCTCTTCTTAGAGCTGAAATCAACTTCAAGTTTGGCATAAACCTTTTTTGCCATCTTGGTGGCCTGATCATTGTGAGCTGGTGCTTTAGACACAAAAACAATAAACCATTCTCGTTCCTCATTTTGAACTATTAATTTGATGCGTGGTTTAAGAATAGTCTTAAACTCATCAAGATCCTAGGTGAGACAAAAAAAAAAAAAAAATCATCAGTGTTGGAAAAGGAAGAATATATACCCATGCTAGGGGTTTTAGCCTGGTTAAGGAAATAATTGATTTCTGAGACTATATGAACTTATTAGAGTGCTGAAAGATAGTAACAGGAATTGTAAATATACCTCACAAGTAACAAGAACTATAGTTGCGTATGGCTCTCGGAACCAAAATAATAATTGTTCTTGAGGAAATCGACTACGGAGTCTTGCATCTGTTGTCAATATGAAATCAGCAGGTAATCCGTCAACAGTCACGGGATTACGAGTCTTGTTGTTCAGGAAAACCCTTTTGAATGGCAACCTCTCTTCGAATTCCTTCTTAAGGTCAGGCCACAGATCATTTACATCCTCAACTGTGACAAGTTATAGCAGTAAATGTTACAAACATATGAGCAGCATATTAATAACATTGCACAGCTTATCCTAATATGCAAAGGAGTAATGCCAATGCATAAAAAGAATAATCCATGGAGAAAAAATGTACTGACTCTAACATGTCGTGCAAGCGTTCACCTTTAAAAATCCAAGAAATTGAACCCTACCACATCGGTTGGTAATTGCGTTTGTTTGGGTCCTCAGAAAGTATGCCCCTGTTTGGTACAGATTTTTTAACACTTTTTCCCCGACCTCATTTTCAACCACACATTCTCCCAATAAATAATTTTGCCAGTAGATCCATAATTTTTACACTTTTTAACCGCAAATTCTTCAGGAAAATAAAAACCCACTTTTCACAAAATCTACAGGCCCTATATTTCACTTACTAAATTATTCAGAATATCGAACAATCAGCTAGCTAGGAAATGAACTAATAATCAGTTAATCATCATAAATTTTGCCAACTCTCGCAATAAATTTCATCGCTCGGAGGCAGGAAAAGAACTGTAAGGATAAAAATCCATAAATTACTACGCTTTATTCATTAAGCCGATTCAGCTGTTGGAAAACACATAAGTAGATCAATGCAATCTGTAAACCAGCTGAGTTGAATGAAAAATCACATATTTTCAGCGAAAAAAAAAAAAGAAAAGAACAGAACGTACTGAAAAGCCATAATTATAATAAAAAGTAAAAGAAATTAAAGTTGAAGTGGTAATTAGGTTTACAGAAATAATAGATTTTTGAAATTACCGGCAATAACGAGGCGATCGCACGAGGATTTAATACTCTGGAATTGAGCTAAAAGATTCGCCATTTTAGCGATCTGATGAAACCATAGAATCTAATGAGAGCAGAGATCCATTAGAATGGAATGCGATAGAAGAAGAAGAGTGAGCAGTGCCGGTTACTGAGTTTCCCTTATTAACTGTGTAGTAATCGGCCTCGGTAGATTTGTTTGTTCCGAATCTTCCGACGATATTGGGGGCTCCGGGTTAGCGATGCGGTGCTCGCATTTGTTTGAGTGACAAAAAATAGGGATATAAAATAAATAAAAATTTCGGGCATGTTTCACCATCATTTTTTTTTTTAATAAAATGTATTTTGAAATAATAGATTTATAAAAAAAATGTAAGATTAAAAAAATAAAAAAATATTTTGAACTTGCGTAAAATATTATTTTATTAAAAAATATGTGATTGAGAAGAAGAAATAAAAAAATGTATTTTTTAAAAAAATGAGAAGACCTGTGCTACAAAAAAAGGTACATTGTCCAATTTAAGGGAAATTGGAATCCAGATGGGAAGGATCACGAACAGGCAATTCTTCTAACATGATGACCTTAAAATGATCGAGGAAGAAATTCCAATAAATGTGACGAGCTGCCCTCAAGTATCTGCAAAAAGTCGGCAAGTTCGGATCTTGTCTTCTTTTTTTCACTCCATTTGACTCCTATTAAATTTATAATACATTTTTTATCTCTTTTTTTAAATATACATTTTTCAATAAAATAATATTATCATAGTTATTAGACTCGACCCTGACAAGGTATTGGATCTTGGGTCAGTAACCGAACCGATGGGTCATTGCATAAAAAATTACAAAAATATATATATAAAGTATAATTTTTTTAGTCAAAATTAAAGTTTTTAAGTTATTTTTAACTAATTATTTAGGTCTATAAAATAAAGTAAAAATTTGGACCAAAGTTTTTTAAAAAAACTTATAAATGTTTCGTTAAATAGATATACGTTATTGCACATAAATAATACGTTTAATTCTATTTGAGAGATATTGTTAAATAAATTATGAATATTGGTCTTCATAATTGAATTGTGCTATCAAATTTATAAGTTTCAAAGTTAAATTGGATTGATATAAACGGATTCGAGATCCTGGTAAGTTTTTTTATCATCGTAGTTTTATAATAATTGCATTTAATTATAACATTGCATCACTTTTAATTAATATAGGTCCTGCATTCATACATAATTTAAGTGGATACAATTTACTTATAGAAAACTCACAAATTTATATTCTTTCGGTTAATGTTGAGATAATTCGAACTTAAACTAGTAAAATCTCCGTGTGTACGATACTGAGACTCAAAATTCATTTTACTTATTAATTAACCGTGCACTTGCTTCATTTTAAAAGAATAATATTTTCGTGGCGTGTATTAATAATTTGTTTTAATAATGCTAAGTGTTAGGTCCAATGTTGTAATTTGCATGTTTGTGAACAAAATAGTCTTAATTGAACACTTGTAAAAAGTCAGGGATTTGGATGCAATTTTGTATAGATGAGTTAAGTTAGGGTTAAAAGTTGAAAACAAGGAAAATGCGGCGCTAGATTGTCACCAAGATTTGGCTCGAGCGTCAGAAACAGAATCGATGTCGCTCACCTTTCGCCTCGTTGTGGTTCGAGCGACGTATTTATGCGGCCAGACCTAATTCATGATTTTGAAGAGTTTTACACAACCCATAACACCTAAGCATCCCTAACTATAAATAAAAATGTCTGGACGAATTTCAGTAGGTTGCTTGATTGTGCTACAATTGCAAAATATTTTCATATCATTGTTAGAGAGATCCAAAAGGCTATTAATTGATTGATTCATCCTTGTGATCCGACAATAGAGTTTTGGGAAAACATCAATGTTCGTTAATCAAAAACACTTGGCATCCTTAAAACTTTAAGGAAATGATTCAAGCGTAGGAAAAAGAACAGTAATAGGTGATACATTGGTATCCACTTGGAAGAGATGTGTGCAGAAGATTGTAAGATACAATAAATCTTGGTAGAAGATTGTGAGTCTGGAATTTACAGCGGATCTTGGAAGTTACAGGAGGTAGATCGGGAAATCTAGCAGGTTGGCTAGATAATATCTACGGTAGCAGATCGTGAGTTTGGAATGAACAACAGATCTTGGAGTTGCAGGGTTTACAATAGCTGAACTAATTTGGATTTTAGCTGTAATCCACATTATTTATAGTGGAGGTAACTGATTTGGTCCAGGAGTTTTTACCCAGTTGGGTTTCTCCGTCATCAAATTGTGTTATTTATTTCTTTCCAAATATTACAACTGCGGTAATTCAACTTAGGGAAATTAGATTGTCTGCTTAACTATCTAGAAACTAAATAAAAGTGATTTGTTGCTTTAATTAGCGTAATTCCGCACGTAAGGTTAAATTTAGTTAGTAAACTATGCAATTTTCACTAAGCTTATGTTTGGCCCCCATTTTTTTTTTTCAAAAACTCATTTTCAACTACACATTCTCCCATAAAATAATTTTACATGTAAATCAAAATTTTTTCCTTATTTTTTAATCATACATCTTTCAAAAATCATCATTCCAAAACACATTTTGATATTGTCATTTATGGAGTCATCTTGAGCTCGAGCACTTCCAAGGGCCCCATTTCTCAATTGGTGGACCTTAGTCCTCAGGGTATATAATGTCCTCGAGATAGCTCGAGGACATGCTTTACGGATCGACCCCAAAATTCACTTTAGCACTCGTCGGGGTTGTAGTGCTCGGGAAATTTACTTGGTCAATCTCGAAACATTCCGTGATCAAGTGTCACTAGTCCTCATCCAGAAGGAATCATAACCCGATCCAATTGCCGATTGCTCACAAGTTCTAGGCCAACAAAGAGTCTTTCCTTGCAAGTACTTTCGGTAAGGAAGGAAGCTCTTATACAACACTTACCCTAACACAACACTATCTCCTAAAAATAAGGATATGAATCCTTCTAGAACTCCATTACCTAGCTCTATAAATATATCATTCTCATCCATTATTCAGGTACACCTTTTTCACATACTTTTTCAGCATATATTCTCTCTCTGACTTAAGTATCGGAGGGGATTTGAGGACACACCTCGACGCCTTTATTTCAGGTACCGGAAGATCATGTTCGTACTCACTGTCAGTCGTCAAGCTCGGAATTCACCAGGTGCAATTTTTGGTAGCATCACATTTCATCCCCAAAAATGGGGCTCCAGGGGCTGAATAACTATTTTCACTAAGAATAATTAATAGGAGAAAGAAACGAAAACATCATGTCACTTATAAAAAAAATAGGAATTTGTTTGAACCCTTTTAATATTATTTTTTTAAGAATGTGTGGTTAAAAAATAAGAAAAAGTTTTAAATTTGTGTTTAATATTATTTTATTAAAAAATAAGTGGTTGAAAATAAAAATAGTGAAAAATGTATTTTAAAACTAATAGATTCCAAGGGCTTAATTACAATTTAACATTTATATCTCAAGAAATTTCAATTTGATGTATAGGTTATTAGCAAACATGGTATGTAGTGTTGGACATATATAACTAAGCCCCGTTTGATCTACATTATTATCTCATTAAAATGAAAAATATGACCGTTATCCATTACATCAATATTTAAATTCAAATTTTCTATTTTTTGTGTGGACCTCAATAACGACTATATTTTTCATTCTCATTCTATAATAATTTGGCTTAAATAGGGCCTAAGATTTTTATTTCTTCCTTATTATCTATACTATCTGCCACTATTTGTTATGTCCCACGTCTGAAGTTCAAATACTGAACTGTTGTTGGAAATGTCGAAGAGAAAGCAGTGACAGATGGGAGTGTTCCATTAAATTACGCAACCAAAATGTATTAATATTCAACCCTAAATCATTTTTTTGAAATTCAAATTCAAATTCATTGAAATAGCAAAGACTGATATAATGGGAAAAACCCCAAACACAATGCTCTCCTAAGAGAGTTTACGTGCTACCAGAGCTACAACAAAAGAGACGACAAAGTAAGTGGAAATGGCCCGCAACGAAGGAACAACTGTGACTTAATAGACCGGAATCCCCGACTAAAGCCAACTAACGCAATCAGCACTTAAGCACCCCCGCAACAAAGTGACGAGCATTGTCAAATACTTCAAAACCCCTCCCGGAAGAGGGAGGGCACTCTGGATAGAGTCACACCATGGCCCAGAATCCACTGCCAACACCAAACACCACCTAACAACCAAACCAAGACCCAACTCCAACCAAACAATCAAACAGCCAACATCACCCCACAACCAACAACACCATACAACAGCAACCCCCAACAATCAACACAAAACAAAACAACCGAGACAACACAAACCAAACAAAACAACAAACAAACAAACACCACCAATCCACCAACAACAAACCCACACACACACATCACACCCCCACAAACTAACCCACGGCTACCGCTGGTACCCAGCCAAAAAAGCCCGCCGATTAAGCCCGTCAGCAGAAAACTTCGCCATTCCCGACCGTATGAGACCGCAAGCCAAAACTCGCCCACCCCTTACACTGACCAAAAACCAGGAAAGACAAACCACCCTGGGCAACTGGCCTAAACCAAACCACCGCACCGCCCCAACCATGCCTGCCAAAACTCAACAAACCGCAGGCAACCAAAAACCAAAGGGAAAACGAAAGGGGAGAGACAGGGAGGGAAAAGAGGGGGGAGCCGAAGCTCCCACCCCCCGTCGGGCTCGCTAGGGATTAGGGTTTGGATAAGAGGAGATAGAGCGATTAGAGAGGAAAGGGGTTAGAAATCCTTCACCGAGGAAGGAACGATCCTTCATTGAGGACACCCAGAGGAAGGAAAAAGCACCTCCGCCGGCGGAAGGAGAGAGAACCTTCACAGGGGAAGGACTAGAATTCCAACCTTAAATCATTGAAGTATCTAAAGACAAGTGTTGATGATAAGGTCAGTCAAAATAAAAATTAGTTTATTCACCGTCTTTACCTCTTTCATTCTAATTTTTCAATCACACATCCGTACAATAAAATATTATGCGCTTAAACCCAAAACTTTTTACTACTGTTTAACCACACATTTGTCTAAAAATCAATATTCAAAAATCTATTTTTCCAAAATAATGATTGCCAAACAAGGGTTCATTTTTAACAACGAATTCATCTAATAAAATATTTTACATGTAAATAAAAAAATTTCACGGCATTTTACTCACGTTTTTTTAAAAGTAAGTATTCAAAACATTGATATTCCCAAACTGAGCTCCAGTTTGGTCCGAATTAAAATCTAATTTTAATTCAAATTAAAGTTAAATAATCAATATTAATCACATGATTTCACAACTTTTCAACCACACATTTCAAAAACTTCTATCACAATATACTAAAAATATAATTTTAATCACCACCAAACACCCCTGGATTGTATAATTATTGGTGTACTAAACCAGTAAACCAGTAAGTTGATAATTTGACAGTCAAATGGCATCAAAAGCAAGAAGAACAAGAGAAGTTATAGATAGGGATTTGGATGAGGCGCGCCAAAACCTCATAATCACTTACCAACTACTCTTCCTTCCCATGGCGTTCCCTCTGTCGGCATCCATCGTCTCTACGAACAAAATGTCTATCAAAGTCTCCCCAACTCGAAAACCACATTTTCTGGTTACCCACCTCCCATTCCCATTCAATCGACCCACCTCCACTAGATTTCATTATCCTAAATTCAATCGCATTTTCGCAATACGACACGACGACTCAATGGTCAGTTCAATTTCGGCTCTTTTTCTTGGTTACGCATATTCTTCTTAAATTTTGTTTTCAACTTATTTACGAGTTGAATCATGATTATAAGTTGCCTATTGCCCTTATACAAGGCGTTTTATCCAGTTCTTGCGTCACATTTACTTGTTATTTATGTGACAGTAACGAGTACCGAGTGATTGGAACTCTTCTCAGGGAAAAATATAGTCCCGCTTTCCCTTTTATAGCTGTAAATAATTTCTCCACTTGTCTATGGATTATATACTTTGTAAGCTATCCCTGTAAAATACAGATTGCACAAAGGGTCTATAAAATTAAATATTATACACTATACATGGACCATCATGTCAGCAGGAATTCTTTTGGACGGGGTATCAATCTTTTCTATTGCTCAGGGGACTATAATTAGGTACAGTGACGAGGCAACAAAGAACTTGTTTCATTCATTGTAGAAAACATGTGGCGGAGCCGGGGATATCTACTAAATATTTGCATTGAGAATTAATTATTAACATCTCCCAGCTCTTCAGATGGATTTTTGGTTATGTAGGAGTTGACATCTGGATGGAATATCTTGAATTTATCTACATCTGCAGAGCAAGGAAAGAAGTGGTTTGAGAGTGCCATAGCGACCATCATTCTCTTTCTTCAGCTCACATATCCACTTCCTTTAATTGGTCAAGATTCTTGGTTGATTTCCTCTGCTGAGGCGGTGTTATATTCCCCGGAAACAAAAATTCCTAGAACCGGGGAATTAGCTCTGAGAAGAGCAATTCCAGCTAACACAAACATGAAAGCTATACAGGTTCGTTAGAACAGTACAAATTTATTTTGCTTGAAGGTTGGTCCTTTCTTCAAAGTATTAACTTTTCATTTATTTTCTCTCATAGGATTCTCTGGAGGACATATCATACTTGCTAAGGATTCCACAGAGAAAACCATTTGGAACGATGGAGGGCAATGTCAAGAAAGCTCTAAAGGTAACACTTGATCATTCTTCATGGATACCTATATGGGCTGAAACAGCCACGATGCTAGATGTTCTGCATGTATTTCTTTGGACTGAAATATGACATGACCGACTTTTGATTTTGCACAGGTTTAGATGGGATTAAGACCTGTTTATTAGCACCTATATCTAAGTTGGTGTATGTATAAGGAGATTATAGTTTTGATCACCAAGAACGCTGCTTTCTTGTTATAGGGGAGTTTATTGAGAATACTTGTTTCATAGAGTGCATAAATCATTTTAGTATTCCTTCTTTACTTAATGATCATCGTCCTTGCCCGTGAATGCCAGCTTCTCTTATTTGCTAAATTATTATGTCTTTCACAGCAAGAAAAATAACCAGCTTATCTCCTTAGGAATGAAACTAAACTTTGTTATACTACTTATTTGCTAAATTATTATGTCTCTCATAATAAAAATAACCAGCTTATCTCCTTAGGAAATGGAGCTAAACTTTGTTATATTACCTAACCATTCTGCACCTAATCATCTTCTCCTCCCTTATTTTCAGATTGCTAAGGACGAAAAAGAAGCCATCTTGACTAGCATACCTGACAAACTGAGAGAAAATGGTTCTGTCTTGTATGCATCTCTTGTAGATGGGAAGGTACTTTGTCAAAAAAAGCGTTAGCATTTTGGATACCAACCTGCTCTTTTCATATATGTGCACCTTCAGAATAAGTTGTTTGGAGAGTGTGTTTAGAATAATTTGTTTTGGAGTCTTTGTGTCCAACGCAATGTTATAATGTGAATTTGTTTTATTGTTTCTTATAGTTCACCATTTTCTTGAGTTTTGTGGGATTTTTTTTTTAATACTGAATAGTAAAAATTCATGAAAGAACTGGCAAGTAATGTATGTGGATGAATGCCCACACTTTATTTCACCAAGTCCAGTTCCTGGATAAAAATGTATGGTCTCTGCTCTGACTATTGTAATGGAGTGCAGGCCAGAATATTTTGTTCTCTCGTAAATTAGGGCACTAACGAAAGTTTTACTCTGCGAAGCCCAAACTTTAATGTATTTACATGTCACATGTCATCAATGATAATGATGCAACACAGTCAATTCTATTCATTCAGTAACTTCTCTAAAATCTCCCAATCATCTCGCATACTCTGTTAATTTTTTTCTCATATCTAGAAACCTTCTCTTTTATCCAAATATAGCAGATGGTCATGGGGTGCCTCCTGTTGTTATAAACTTGATCAAGCTTCAATTGGATAAAATCCTCACTTACACCAGAACTACCAATTTTTAGGAATTATTTTATTTATTTTTAATGTTGGTATTCTGATAGACCTCCTCTCATATTCACATACACGAGGAGACAGAAAGATGGTGGTGCAGTCACGGGGGCAAGTGCAGGAGCTGAGGCAGGGAATCAAATGTAGTTTGGTATTGTTATCAGTTAGTTACTAGGGGTATTCTGGGGAATTGTGGGAGTGAGGAAGAGTCAATAAATGTGAGAGTGGGGGAAAAGGGGAGGGCATTCACGTTTTGGTTGAGTCTAGGGGGAGAGTCCAGGCCTCTCGAATGCCTTGGAGCTATTCCCTTCTTAGCAGTGTCTGTTCTTTGCAATTCAATATAAATAATCTTCGTCAGTACATCTCATATCGTTTCAGCAAACACCACTTTCTGTAGAATTCCTCTTAACTATTTTCAGGAACCTATCAAATTGGTATCAGAGCAATCGGTTCTGGCAGGATGACTCTTGCTGACCGGGTTAACGAGTTGGAAGCTAGTATTGGGGGAATGCGTTTGGAAATGCAGGAAGGCATGGGAGCCATGAGAAGGGAACATCAGAGTGAGATGGCACTCATAATGGAGAAGCTGGAGATGATGGCGCGAAAGTGGGGCGCACAAGAGCAGGAACAGAAAGAAAAAGGGCCAGCAGCTGGCTCGTTTGAAGCCGTTGCCCAATCTCCGGTCAAACAGCAGGAGGTAGGGGCTAGTTCCGTTGACAGGATCCGTAAGGAAGAAGGGGGAGAGCAGAAGGGCACAGACGGAGGCTAGAAATGCCTATTTTCAGTGGAGACAACCCCGATGGATGGATTTTTCGAGCGGAGAGGTACTTTAATATGAATCAGCTCTCGAATTGGGAGAAACTTGAGGCAGCAGTTGTGTGCCTGGATGGGGAAGCTCTGGCATGGTACCAATGGGAGGAGAGTCGGCAACCAGTGAAAAATTGGGAGGAATTTAAGACACGCCTGCTGGAGCGATTCCGTCCCTCACAAGAGGGAACGGTCCTGGAGAAATTTTTGGCACTGTGCCAGGAGACGACGGTCAAAGATTATCGCCGTGCTTTCGAAATCCTTGCTGCTCCGTTGCCATTGTTATCGGAGGAGGTTTTGGTGGGCAATTTTGTGAATGGATTGAAACCCACCATAAGGGCTGAGATAAGGATGTGGAAGCCCCAAAGGTTGGGCCAACTTATGGAGCTAGCCCAGAGAGTGGAAGATAGGGATGAATCAATGAAACATGCCCAATCATTTTTTCGCCCAGTTAGAAGTAGAAATAGTCCATATAACTCCAATCAAAGCCTATCTTCTGGACATTTCTATTCCTCCAGCCCGCTGCAGAGAACGACGCAGGCTATTACGC